AATAGATAATCATATGCAGTGTTTCTCATCATTGCAATATCTTCATTACAATTTATAAGATATGAATAAAGATGAGATACCTTAACGATCAATAACGAATACCTTGAGATACATACCTGGTTGGTTGATTTTAATCCGTACAAGTCATTTGTCATATCTTTTTTCCATCAATCAATCTTCATCGAGCGCTGAGATCAATGAGATCTTATCATGCATTCCTTTTATTCCTTGCAATTCTCAGAAATATTCTCATCCCTTCTATTCATTGTGACTTTCACCAAAGTTCATCAGTCTATTCGTCTGTCTGCATAAGTTCCATTATTCAGTCATTTTGGTGAAGATCACATTGTATTTTTGAAGTTAGAATGGTGGAGAGAAGGAATTATTTTAGCTTGAATCGCATATTATTTCAATAATAAAGTATAACGTTGTTTTATCAATATCATGCAGTTCCAAGCATGATTGAATCTGTCAAACAGATGATTGAACGAGTGTGTACGTGCACAATCAATATCGTCAGCTCATTTTGATTAGTTCGAAAATTTCATCAAATCAGTCGTCGTGAACCCATACGATATGAACTGATGTTGAGATTTTCAGCACTTAAACTTTGATCAGCATCTTCTTCATCACTGTGCCGAAGAGCAATTTTTTGTTGTTACTTTACTGAATATCGACAAAATAAATCAATTTCTGAGTAGACGAATCAACCACTTGAGACGGGCACAACTGCTGTGTTGCGTAACGATAGTAACTGTTGAGAGAAGGAAGACGATGGCGATAGACTTAGTAGACGTGTTCCTATGGTGCATATTTATACTCGCTTGAGTTGGCTTGATGATTTTTACGATTTTTAGAGTATTTTTCTTTGTGCGTTTTTTGTTCTCGTAAAGAAGGATTTTTCTAAAGCGATAAACTTTTCGAACGTTTGAAAATTTTTATGTATTTGTGTGTTCCAAAATGGAGGAAATTTTTTGTGTAATTCTAAAATAATTGGATATTTCATGATTTTCCATATTGTGAACGTATATTTTCCAACTCTCTTTTACGCTCGTACATTTCATATTGCTATTGTTTCCTCAGTTTATGCCTTCTGGTTGTAAGAAAACTTGTTCCTTGTTGCTCTCCTACTTTATCTTGTATAATCAGTTGACGAATCCAAGAAAAAAAACGAGCATAGTCTTTATGTTCGTTTTGAGAAGATTCATCTCTTTCCATCTATGCGTTCTCGATACAGCGGATATCTTCCACGGAAAGAATGCTCATCTTATCAGTGTGAATCAAAACGGTCACTCAGAGTCACATATAAGATCGAGTGATCTTCTTGGAGTGCAGTGATAATGCGTGATGTTCGCGATGCGACTAATCGAGCGATTGTGATCAACAGCCGTATGATTCATCCGAGGATCACAATCCCTTGGGTGTTCAAAGAAAGAACTCAAAGACTCCCTCCGTCTTATCGAGCAAGCAAAAAAGAAAATTCTCAGTGATTCTTTTTTCGTTAGCTAAATATGAATGTGACTCGTTTGTTTGTTCTGCGATAAGTCGTGCTGCACATACATGATGCGATTTGAACGCTGACTTCATCGATGTTATCAAGAACTCATTTTTCGAATCCTTTCTTTGTGTCGAATGCATTTTCCGTTAGCAGTGATGAGAGTGCGGTACATAATCAGCGCTAAATAGTAGTTACATGTTGTTTACATAATTTTATTCGTATCGTTTCGATGATTATGATGTGTTGTACTATGAAAGGAGAGAGAGTTTCTGTCGGTCGTCGCATTTTTAAATCTTCCTCATAATGAACGCATTTTCAGTACTGCCTCCAATCATCAAGTAAATAGTTTATGCATTCATAACAGACGATAGCTTGCAATTGTTTTACGCATGGATATATCTATCACATTATGAGTTGTTGTTTTTTGAGCGAGTGTTCTGCTGCTGGAAGAGATATGGCCAGCGAGCGGGCGGTGGCGTTGTGGGAGTGTAGTAGGGAAAAGATTTGGCAAACATACCCTCACATAAAATGCATTAAATAAATGGTGGTGGTTGAATGAAGGAATTAAATAGAATTGTGTGCAACAAACGATTGAAGTGGGGACATTTTTTGTGTTGGTCGCTCGCTTCTCGAAAATATTTGAAATAAAAATTTGTTCGTTAACAGTTTCGAATATATTAAATTATGAGAATAGAGAAATGGAAGCTCTGTTGAATTCATAATTCCCTTTACGACGAGCCAAAAAAAACGAATTCTTTCTAAATCAACAAATTTATTCACATTCCAAATGATCAGCTGAACGATTTCATTCGTTCACTTCGAATTAAGCAGTGAAATTGAATTTTTATTTTATATTTCGTTGCTCTTCTCTGTACATCTTGCAATTTCGATCGTTCAATATTCGTTGAATTATAATATTAGTTCAACGCAAATCACGAAAGAAAAATTATTTATGATAATGATAATGATGATAGTGATGGTATTTTATCAGTGGTAATAATCTTCGGTAACTCAGTTTAATTGATCCGAATTTGTGGGGTTTTACACGTACGTTTATGTATCTTGTAACCTTTCATCACTGTATTTTTTTAATAATAAGGTTTGTATTATAATTGTGTGACCAAAAGTCGAGACGTGTGATTATTGATATGAAATAGTCAGTGATATTATCGCTGTTATTATACTCATTATTAAGATTAACGATATTATTTTCATTACCAGATTTATTGTCATATTAATGTTTTAATCATTCCCATGTGTGTTCCTGACCGATCTTCGTCGTGACTCAGAGCGCAGATTTAATTTATTAGGATGTTTTTGTTCTCGGAATCACTCAGTGCTGTGCAGTGAATGAATGTACGAACGAAGCACATTGCTATGCATGTGCTGTGAGTGTGTGTTTATAAATGTATTCGAACGTACGTCTCTGTAATCCGTATCGGATTCATCTTTATTCCTTATCACTGGTGCTTAATCAAAACAAACAACAAATCTCAAATTTGGATGTATTCGAATCTTTTCTTCATTGGAAGTATTACCTTTTCACCATAAGATTTCTATCGATCAGTGTTATTATTGCCAATTGGTTTGTACAATGTATCCCCACTTAAAACGGTTTTTTCTAATTCACTTTTTTCAGTAATGTTTCGTATCATTAATCACTTTAACACAGCACTTGTGCAAAGTGCCGATTTCATTCATGAGTGCAGTTTTTGATGTTCAAAATTGCGATGTGCATAGAAATTTGAACTGAATGCTGCACTCATGACATATTTTCAAATGAAATTACTCATATTTCATTTGATAATTTCATCTTCAGTTTTTCATCGTCGTCTTAAATTTCATTATACGTTTCTCTATGCCTTTCTTCGTTTTTGGCTGAAGATTCAACTAAAAGCATCTTCAGTGATTGTAATGATTACGAGCAGTAGTGAGTGGAAGCTGACAAAGTGAGCTTTTGATTCATTGGAGCGTTCTGGTGGAATTTTAAGGTTTTTCTAAATAATTGGATTATGCATTGCGAAGTGATCGAGTGAAGAAGATAGCGGATGACGTTTTTCGTGTCGAAACAATTGAGCGATCGTTCGCTGCGTTGTTTATTCAGTTACGAATGAAATGTTTATGAGAGGGGAATTTCTGAATGGTATATGTTCATGTGTACAGTTTGTGTGCGTGAAAATGCATATAAGTTGGTTGTGTTTATTTTAAAGAGCACTACTGTTTTATCCATCAGAAATGTGATTTAAACTTATTTAAGTGTATACACCGCTTGACATCATTCAGAATAGCTGGTGGCTCAAATTCAATAGCTCAAATCTCACAAAAGAGTTTAATCTTGAGAAAACTCGAACTTGTTATGGATTCTTTTTCCTTTTTTTGGCCTTTTACCTTTAACTAAACGAAAGAGTTCACAGAATAGAACGCTACTGGAATTTCAGTTTGGAATAAGTTTTCAACATTTGGTGGTGATGGTCAGTTGACTTTATAGTTCAGAAGAAATTGGTTGTTCTCAGTGAAACTTGAGGTAATCAAATCTGATTCCGAATCAGAAGAATTATCTCAGTGTTAAAAGATTTCTTTTGTTTATCACGTGTTCCTATTTGCTGGTGTTAAAAGATTTCTTCAGTCGTGTATTCAGTAGACATTAATGATATCATGTGGAGTTCTCTACGATGGTGTACCAAAAAAATTCAGCAGCAGCATTTTTCGTTGTTGCTATTTAAAGAAGAATGTTGAACGAGGAAAAGGGTCGTGAATTGTTTCGTAATTATCATAATTATGAACTTTGAAATAAACAGATGATAGTATGAAACTTTCAATCGTTTGGTTATACTATAAAAACTATTCAGCTGCCCTTTGATAACTTCTTTCGTGACTTTTCAAACTTGTGCTGTTGTTTTTGTTTTTGTAAATTTCGTTGACAGTTGAGGTAGTTGTTATGTCAAGTTGCTTGGTCATGTCTGTAGATGAGCTCATGTGTTGTGCCTAATAGTTTCTTTGAATGATATCACTGGTGTTATTTTTGCTTTTTTCGCCAGATCGCAATCGTTTGACGTTCAGCGGAGCGACTGATTAAGTAATTTGCGCTCGTGTCGACACTTCTTTGGACGTTTTTCAATAGGCTAAGTGGACAAAAGTAAGATATAGGGAAAAAAAATGAAGAGAAATAAAGTGGAAATTTCAAAAATTTGGGAGAAGATAGAGTGAACACGCGCATACTTTGAACTCTCAAGGTATACTTCGAGAAGCCTTCATCATACAGTGTGCAGATAAGGAAAATGTCAAATGACAGCGTTCCATGTAAATTGAGAACGAGTGTAGCTGGAAAGAGTTTCGTTAAGTCGACAATTCGGTGTGGCAGCCTCGACGCACTTTCGTTATCGCTTTTGTATGTGGTCGTCGTCGTCGTAATGTTAATCGAATGACGATCAGTTGACTGCACTTGTTAAATTTTTCAGATTTCCTGTTTTTTTATTCGTAGAAACAATCGGAGTTTTGCTAGATGTCGTCGACTGCTGTACAGTATCGTAATGAGAAAAAGAGAATCGAAGAAGCCGTCGCAAAAGTTCGCGAAGTGGTTAATTTCGCATCCAAAAATGATATTATTCTCGCCTTACATAATTTCGATTTGGATGTCAACCGAACAATTCAAGCATTCTGCGATGGTTTGCTATTTTCATAGTTGTATTATCTTTCCTTCCTTTCTAGCAGATTTATTTTTGCCACCACTGAATTCATATTGGTTAGTATGAAATGTACAATTATCAATCACTATTATTAACGTCATAATTTTTGCTGTTGTCAGTATGCTCGTTGCCAATGGTGTAACGATTACAACTGGAGTTGTTTGTATGGTGATCATTTCGATTACTGTTTGATGTAGTTTATGTGATCGTTCTTCTCTGAATGTTGTCCTGATAAGAATACGGTTGCATCATAAATTTGAAGATGGAGCACAGAGCGCACTGGACTCGTGGGAACGGAGTGGATCGGGCGGTAATAAGAAGAAAGCACAAAAGAAGAAGAAGAAGGTATGTCTTGTATGAATTTATTGCTTTGTAAAAATTTTACTCGTACTATTAGAAGTTTCGTCTACTTGAGCAGTTGTCTAGAAATCGTTGATTTGATGTGTTTTGAAGGGATCTGCACCTGGTGCTGCTGCCGAAAATGCTTCAACTGCAATAAGTTCGTCGTCTTCAACTCAGCAAACATTGCCTTCCAAACAACTGTCTTCTTCGAATATGAAGTCGAATAACAACGATAATATCAATGGACACGTTGATTTCAATGAGAAACATTTAGCCAATGGTCCTCATTTGTTTCACTTTTCTTTTTAATTGATCTCTGCGTGCTGTTCGTCACGTTCAGTTTTAAGTTGTATCATTCGTTTCCCTTGAACTGATGATCTTCACCTTATTTTTTGGAATGGTTTGCAAGTTTCGGTTATGTCATGATCGTTTACCTGTTAATAATGACAATTTTTGATGCTTGATTGGTCGACGATCGCTTTGATTGAGTTGATAATAGCACATTTTTGTGGTGGAAGCAGTGATGAGTAAGACGATTATTGACTTTAAGGTGATGTAAAAACAAAGAACGTTCATGCATCAACAGCGTCGTCTGGAGTGCATGAAGTCGAGATAGGATCAGTACCATCGATGATGAAACAAAGTACTCCTTTAGCAATATCCGTCAAGCAACAATCGAATTTGTTATCATCTTCCCAAAATGATGGCCAATTCGAGCATTTAAATGATGACCAAAAAAACAAAGGTGATTCATGTCATTTGGATGTTACGTGATTGCAGTTCATTTCAGGAATGATAAACTCGAACTTCTATTGTAAAATAGTGCCAGTATATTGAATTCTGAGGAGCACTTCATTAAAATACTATTGTTAATTTTGGTCAAACGTGTTATCACTGATTTGTTGTACGTCAGAGCGAGATTGAAAAACACGTGTCAATTAGGGTGGTGATTGCAATCATATGATAAAATTTGTGTTTCAATGCAGTTTTTTGATAGTGGATGTTGAACTGTTTATTCAATCAATGTAGGTGGAATAATTCGCTTATTTGCAGTGCTTTCAACGGAAATCTCGAACTTGAAGAGTCACGGTGCGGAAATTGATAAAATCGAATCTGAATTTGAGAATGAGGTGGCATTAGCTGAACAAAATATTCGTTTGGTGTTCAAGGTAACGAATATTTCAAAACTTATCATTAATTTCTCTTATTGTTAAACTGTGGACATTTCATATTTTTTCGTCAGTTGTAAGTCGTGATGACTTCTCGGATTAATCCTGATGGGTAGATGGACAAGTGGTTGTAACCGTTATGCTCACAAAAAAAGGTTAAACTGCTATAGCAATACTTTCAGAGCATTCGTCAACTATTGTCGGATCGCGAGGGTCATTTATTGTCTGAAATCAAACGCACCCACGATGATGGTTTAGGAATATTGAATGATACGCGTTTGCAGTCGGATAATTTGAATGAACGCTTATTGTATATCCAAGCGATGAACGACAACGAGAAAGATGACTTGAATAGCGAAATTTTAAATTTCAATTTCAATTTGCAAAATATCCATCAAATGGCGTATGCAAGTCGTTTTGTTTACGATAATACGCAGATTATGAACCTGATTAAGAACTTTGGACAAGGTTGGATGTCATTGTATTCATTGTTTTTGGTCTAATTCAATTTGATCGGGTCGTACATACGTTACTTTCAACAGAAGTCGTGTTCTTGTTCCCAACATTAGTGATGCTAGTTAAATTGAAATGCGTGTTCGTTGTGAGATCGAACAGTGGAGGTAATTTGATGTTGAAAGTGGAGATTGAATGATATGCGAATTGCTTCCGATAATGAATATTCATCAGTGACAAATATGAATATTGAGCACGGAACCAACAAAGAATAAAGCGAAAAATTGCAGTGATTGGAGTGAAAAGATCACTAAATAACAGCAACACACCGTCGTCACATGTGCAGTCAGTTCAAAATCAAAATGTTGCCAATAGTAATTTGATAAAACACTCAACAAGTCATTCGTCAATTGTCAGTTCACTTGGTGAAGATTCTGGTCTTGGTCATATCAGTCCAGTTGCAAATGGTAATTTTCATTATTTCGCTTATCGTTTCATATCTTCCTTTCTTGATTACCAACTGTCTGTTCGGAATTCACCCATCTCTGCATTCACTCTTGTTCAATAGTGAACTGTTGTTCTGTTGTTATTGTTGATGTTTAAATAGTTATTCTAATTGATCCGTACAACTATCTTTTTTATTAAGATAAGCACGTAGTAGAGGTTTCAAACGGTGGTATTCATATGAAGTCGGATGCACTTTCGGCAGATGAATTGGCGAATCTTAATAAGAAATTACAAGAAACACTCAGAGCGCAGGTGAGCCATAATGTTTTATTTGCTTTGTCGCAACTGAACGCTGTCTAGTAGAATTGAATTATTTTATCGTTGCATGATCATTTGATCGTTATAAGAATTGGTTTTGCAATCTTATGTATTATTCATGATGCATTGCTCATATGCTAGCTTGTTGCTGCGGATGATTATCAACAATAATGTGGATTGAATAAAATGTTGACATTTCATTTTGAGGGCATCGACGAGTCAGTTCTGTCCGGAATAGGCACAACCGGATTAATGCCGGTTCGACGTCGTCAAGCTGGGCCTCGTGCTGGTTACAATAATAGCGGCGGTGCGGGAAGAGGTGGTAATCCGAATGCGTTACGTAGAAAACAGATGAATTCTGGACGCAATAAGCCTCAACTTTCAATTCTGCAATCATAATTTATTGAATTGTTGTGTTCGTTTGATTCAAATAGCTACCAAATGGGCGATAATTCGAATTCATTTCCGCTCCATGTTTTCGGTTTTAAGAAAAAGATTGTTTTGCATTAATTTTTGATTGTTTTATTATTTCATTTCGTTTTGTTCATCGTTTCATTTTTGTGAACTTGTTGATTTTATTCGTTCAAGTCCGTTTTAAATTATTTTTTAATGATTTCCTCGTTCTGTTTCTCCATTCTGTCGTTTTATTTGGAATAACTGTTCTGGATAATACGTTATGCAAAATGAATACTCTATATAATCAATCGTACATCGTTTATTGTTTGTTACGGTTATAAGTCGAATTTGTAACCATCATTGTATACTGATAATAGAAGTTTCATTAACGCTACGTGTATTTATGAGGGGACAGAACAAATCAGTTGTGCGATAAATCTGCTGTGGATATAATACTTAGATGTAAATTTTGAAGAGGTCATTCCAAATGCTGATCGATCCTGTGGAGTCATATTTATGTTGAGGAAAAATTTGTGTTTGTCAACTATTGGATTAACATGTCTATACCCTCATATGTAATGCCTTTGGATTGCTCATCTCATTCTTCAGAAACTTCTCATTGCTTGATAAGATTGATATTTGTTTGTGTAATCCGTTTGATGATTAAATGGCATGTGAAACATAAGTAACATTTCTATTCATATTGGATAACACCTTTAGATGATTTATTTCACTGAATTCGTTCCTTCATTCATTTCAAAACTGAACAATTTTTTGATCCAAATTCTTCATGATTCACATCCCTAAACTCTTTATGATCCCTCAAAAGCTTGTCATTCGAATGCATCACATCCTCGGATTTTGTTCGATAACAATCTCGATCACCGATTCGGAATACCGAAGTGATTATTTTTATAGAGATGGATATTACGCGATTATCATATTCTCACGTTCAGCTATATCTTAGTTTGTAAGAATTTCATTGAAATTTATTCGTTCCGTATTTCTTCACTATCTGGAGGTGCAAAATTCACCACCAGTTCCGAAAGCATAATGTAGAAATAGCATTTCGAGAGGCAAATTCATAGTCGAGTTCTTAGATAGCTTTCTCTTAGTTCAGAATTTTTTCAACAAATTCCAAATACACTCTTTTGAAAGAATGAACTTTTAGAATGAGCTGAAAATGAATTGGAATGGAACGAACGAAAAATTGAGAATATTTGTTGGAATGAAGTTTGAGCGCTGCTTTCATCTGGTTGTCTTAACTTTTCTTAGTTTGAGAGAGCCTCATGATAACTTTTTTTAATGTTTTCCTCAGTCGTGTATTTCATCAACATGCAGGCAGCTCAGTGCTACGAAGTGATTAAAACGGTTGCATCTATTAAAAAATCTACTGCATGGCAGGCAGCACTCAATCGTCCACTCTACCCAGTTTCATATTACACGCTTTTTTATTTATTCTCAGATTTTATTTCTCTTGTCCATTTTATCGTACTAATAATTTACTGCTCATATATTTCGTTATATGTGTGCATTATTGATGATCCTGGATTACTTTGTATTATAACGTGTTGTTACAGTTTCGTTCAGTCATTAATTTCTTTCATTTTATGCAAGGTTTTTAGGAGGAGGAATGTTTTTATTGTGGTGGATCCCTTTTTATATCTTTCTAAGTCTTAATTGCCAAGAGCAAGTGTGAAGAGTGCTTTTTGACTGTTGTCGAATGCTGTCCTTCAGTGCTGCTGTCTTTATGTTCTGTTGTTGTTTCTTGATTCTAGTTTCATCAGATAAACCAAGTACGTTTCGAATATCAACAATTGGTGGAATATCAACTTTTCAGTCTTATCTAGTTTAATCTATCATTTTGAAGGTAAGATCTGTTATTGTTTTTATTGTTGATAGTGTTTCATATTCCAAATCTAGCGCTGTCTTCTGTCGAGCACCAGTAACCAACCGTTTATTTCCATCACACATATCATGTAGGAACTGCTGTCGTATAAGCGTTTTATTGTAGGGTTATATTCTTCATTTCATCATATTGTATGTTCTGTTTTTCGTTATTCGAGAAATTGTCGGTGGAATCGTGAAATTTCCATGTTTATGGATGGAAAAACGTAACCGTTCTTCTGGCACTTACAATTAGTTGATTACTATAAGGTTAATGTGCTGAGTTCATAGAAAATGAGTAGAATTTGCTATGATGTGTTATGAAAAAGCGTGTAAAAATTGATTGCAAAGATAATGAAACGTGTTAACGTTGAATAATGACGTACGTGCATGATGTGTGCCTTTCGAAAATGGACTGAAGTGATATGTAACAATCTCTTTTGCGTTAAATGTCTTATTTATTGTTATAATAAATATATTCAGCGTCCTCATTCGTGTCTCTCGTCCAACTTATGCATCAAAAACCAATCTCGTTTTTTTTTTTTCACTCATCACTGATGATGTTTGCGTGGGAAGCAAAAAACTTATCCGAATTAACTGACGGATTAGGAATAATGTGTTCAGATCACTAACTTTACGAACGAATACAGAGGCGTAGGGCCAGTCTCCCATATTGCCCAATGGCTCCTAGGAAGATGGGGAGAAATTCAGTAATTCAGCTAAAGTAAAAGCGAATTTATTCGCGTAAATTAACCATTCGGTTACGCATTAACAACTAAAAGTTACGATTAATTACTCAAACAAAGTGGATATGGGCAGATTACATTGAGATTACACGTTCAGACAGGATTACATTCACAAGTGTTGAAAAATTTTTTCAAAGACCTCATATAATTCATTCCACTTTCTTCAGTTTGCAGGAAGGAATTGGGAATTCTTTTGGCTACTGCTGTTCCGTAGCACCATTAGTATCGTTATCGTTTAACACACATATCATTTTCTGTTCAAATTATTAGCTTTCGACAAGAAAAAAATGTTGCGAATGAATTTTTCACAAGGTGCGACGTGGTTGTGATTCTGCCTCTCCGTGCGCAACGCAGTCGTGCGTGACTCCGCCCTCCTTCCACCGACACGCGCATATGGGGCGAAGTGCGTACGCACCATTCGTTTGCCTTGAATTAAATTCTCCTCCGAATAGAAATTTGGATTAGGGAATGAGTGAGTATAGCATAATTTCATGTCTGTAGTGATTCGATTAATCGTACTCTTCGTAATTTCCTTAGGAACAACAATGGATCTGCTGCGGCAATATGAAGCAAGCGATGATGACGAGGATGCTGGAGCGGGAGGATCGGATTCACAAATTCAGATGAATACACTTAAGCCAGTCACATTTGAATCGTGCAAAACATTAGCAATTCCAAAATCAGGCCTTGAACTAGCACCGGACGTCATAACAACGCACAATATTGGCGGTGTTTTATGCGTTGATCCACATGCAAAAGAGCTCGACTACAATCCGAAGTATGAAGAACTCTTCCAACCTATCGTACGTTTCTTTTTCACTTATTGTTTGCTTCATTCGTTAATCATGAGCAGTCTTACTTCATCGTATATAGGTTTTAATCAGTTCACGTTATTTAACATATGAGTAGACGACAATGGTTTAAGTTCAGTGGATTATTCAATTTTTCGTATTATCACTCTCCTTCACTGTGCTCAGGTTGTTGTTCACTTCTCTATCAGAATTGTTTCTTGTGATAAACGTGAGACGTACGTTTAGATGCCATAAAGTAGTGGGTATCTCATAAACATTTTGTTTCAAGGCCGGACCGAGCAACCCATTCAAATCAGCCAGTCAGAATGCAAACAAGAACACACTGACTGGATATGTGGAACCGGCACATGTGGATAAGTTTCAATTCGATCAACAGATTCGGTCGTTTGATACGCTGGGATATGCTCGCGATCCATCTGCTGACCATAGCGCGAATTTCATTGGAAATGTGGAGAAAGTATTGATTATTGTTGTTATCGTTTTTCTTGTCTCACTTAGTGATTCTCATCGTATCTTAAAACATTCCAACAAAGTAGACAGAGGTGTTGAGGAATATTCTGCTGATGAGTTGCAGGCTACTGAGAAACTGGGAGCAAGTTTATTCGAAGGTGAAAAAACTGGTGGAGAGAAGAGGAGGAGAGCCAGAAATATGGACTCGAGCGACGTGAATGGTTATACCGGTGAGTGGAACATATTTTTCTCATCACTTCTACGGAATCTGACGTGATTATAGTTGGTCTTTAATTTTAAGTTTGCGCATTGGTGTGATGGATGGATAGATAAGTTCATTATGTATGGGAAGGCGGCCAAGGAGTGAGATGAGTAGTTTAGTTGTATCTGTCCAGAATGAGCAATCTAGTTAATTGAATCACCATTCACAGGTCCTTGGGCGAGGTTCGAGGATGAAGAAACTGTTTCAAGACCTCAAGGAGAGCTAGCCAAAGAACTGGAAGAAATTGTACGCAAACGTCTAAAGACAAGTCGTGCAGGAAGAAGAGCTGCCGAACAGCAACAACAAGGCAACTTCGATGAGTCATCCACTCTACACTGTTAGTTTATAGTTATGTCGTTGTCTTCATTATTGTGCGCTGATCAATTTCTAATTCACATCTGTGATTATGGAAGAATTGTATGCATGAACCAAAAGATTCGAATGTATTGCCGTCATGGAACAGTTTTTGTTTGTGAACGATTTTTTTTTCAAACGACGTATCGTTTAGCAGCCTGAATCTACAAAGTGGTTGTGTGTGTTAGGTATATTGAGTGCTCATTGCAGTGAAAGAACCAGAAGATTATCAAGGACGTTCGTTTATGCATGCACCACAGTACATTGGTGTTAATCTGCGTGATGATCACGTACCCGAACGGTGTTTCATTCCAAAGAAGCAGGTGTATGTGTATCGAGGCCATAACAAGGGTATCAACTGTGTTCGATGGTTCCCTAGGAGTGCACATCTTTTCATCAGTGCATCGATGGATAGTAAGGTAAACTTTGATGACGACCTTTTTTTGTCATTGTCCCGTCGTCGATGATTAATTCTCTTCACTCTATTCGAATTGAGAATGCGTATTTTTGAGTAGATTATTCCGAAAAACAATTTCGAAAGAAAAGCGTTTACTCGTGTAATTTTCTAACAATATGTGTGAAAAGTTCGTAGATTGCGAATTACAGAGACATTCGAACGGTTTTGTATGATCACCTTCAATTCAGGTTAAATTATGGGAAGTTTACGGAAAGAGGAGTGTGGTACGAACATATGCGGGGCATAAAATGTCGGTGAAAGATGTGACATTCAATAATGATGGCCAAGAATTTTTGACTGCATCCTTTGATCGCTTCATCAAACTTTGGGATACTGAAACGGGTTCGCCATTTATCAAGTTGTTCATTGCTGCTGGAAATTTGCGTTTTCATAGAAGTGCTTCGATTAGTGGTCGATGTAGACACTTTTCAAGTGGTGGGAAATAGTGTCGAGCGACTGTACTCAATTTCAGGTCAGGTAAAGCAGCGCTTCCATACGGGACATATTCCATTCTGTGTGAAATACAATCCGGATGAAGATAAGCAGAATATGTTCTTGTCGGGAATGCAGAACAAGAAGATTTTACAGTGGGATACGAGGAGCGGTGAAATAGTTCAGGTAATTGAAGAATTGAAATCTAAATTTTTATTCTCGTGGATCTGATTTGAGATACGTTTTTGTTTTGGTTTAGTGACTAACGAATGAATTCACGCAGTGTTTTAAAGGAGTACGATCGGCATCTGGGTATTGTGAATTCGATAACTTTCTTCGACAAGAATCGACGTTTCTGTTCAACTTCAGACGATAAGTCAATCCGAATTTGGGAATGGTTTGTGAATTTCGTTGAATAAATTTCAAGCATTTTAAAGTTTGTCTTGGATAAATGGTCTGTATTGTTTCAGTTGGTTATTTTTTGTTGTATTCGGATTAATTGTAGGATCGACTAATTAAAAAATGATACACTGTAATCATGCATTCACCACAAAAGTCACTATATCGTCTAGTGATTCTTTATACTTATGCAGAACAGTCTGATTCGTTCAACCAAAATGACTGATTGTATTTAAGGGAGATTCCTGTAGACACGAAATTGATTCAGAATGCTGGTTTACATTCCATACCGACAATGACCAAGTCGCCAACTGGTTATTTGCAATTGCATTTCTTTGCTTTTCATTCACCCTCAATCTTTGCTCTCGTCAACTTTCTTCGTTTTTTTTNTTTTTTTTGGTGAATTTATTATAATTACCTCAACCAAGTGAGCGCTGTGTTGATTGATTTTGTCCGTTGTTGTGTGCAGAAGATTTCGAAATCGAATTTGCAGAGAAATGGATTGTTGGACAGTCAATGGACAATCGCATTGTACTGTTTCAACTGATCGATGATAAACTTCGATTTGCAAAGAAAAAAGCTTTCAAGGGCCATAACGTTGCTGGATATGCGTGCTCTGTGGACTTCTCACCAGATATGAGGTATGTAGCCGTGTATATGAATAGCGTAACTGTTGTCATTGTCACGCTAATCGCCGTATTCCTTCTGAATCGTTGAAATGTTTGTCCCCAATTATTTTCTTCCGGGTGGAAAATCAGTTAGTGATGAGATATGGATGAAACGTTTCAGTTTCTTAACGTCTGGCGATGCAGACGGTAAGGTGTTCATATGGGATTGGCGAAATCACAAGATAGTGGCTCGTTGGAAAGCGCATAATGAGTGTGTTATATCGACGTTATGGCATCCACACGAGACGTCACGAATGATCACAGCGAGTTGGGATAGTTCGATCAAGATGTGGGCATAAGAGCCGAATGCTTTCAGTGATTATTGTTGCTGTTATGATTCTTGCTTGTTGGATTTTGAATGATATCAATGATTGTTTGTTCCGTATGCTTTTTGTTGATGTCACTGCAGTTTAATGCTATCAGTTCATGAGTCTTGAACTTCATCTTACTTTCAAAGCGAACCACTTCTGTGCATAACCCTCTTTTTTNCGATCCACTGCTTACAAATTAATCCATTCCATTGTGTCATTATTTTTGTATTTTCAATGTTGACATTATTGGTTGGAGTGAGGATAATGGATCGACAGTGTTTGTAGATTGTCATGATTTTTGTGTTATTATTGTCATGTGCTTTTCAATGTTATCATTGATTTTCACGTGTAATTGGATATCGTTAATTGAACAATGAAAGTTTCTGTTACATTCATCATTCGATAGTTGCATATAATACGCGATCGGTTGTGTTTAAATCAACGTTCGAATATACTGAGATTTGATTCATGACTTCACTCAAGTCTCCTCTTCACTGTTGTGCTATCGTTATTGAGTGGCTGCCTGCATTTAAGCGGGTGGAGAGGTTCGGGTAATGATCAGTGGACATTTGGTGAGGGATGTAAGGGACTGGGCTGAGAACAACTGAGGAAATAGAATCGAACAACAGTCAGTTCCGAGTAGGGTTGGATCTTGGAAAGTTTGCATAGCGGTTGCAGTTGAGATTGCACTGATTTTGACAGTGAGCATTTTGTAGAAACTGATCAAAACATTGACGATGATGCATATTGCATTAAAGTGCAGAGTAACATTACGATTAGCAGTGAGTAGTTAAAATGGTGGTGGGAACGACGGTGTGGTTATCGGTAATACGACGAGCATTTATTGCGATAATGAGAATAATTGTGTTTGGATTAATTCTGTAATAGTTGATGTGCTGCTGTAGCGGTGAGTGTAACCGGAAAGCAGTTTTCATAGAGATGAGTATACGTTCGACGAGGGTGCTGTGTGCGCGAACATTTGCAGCAAGTGTGCATGATTTTGCTGCCGAATTAAGGACAATGAAACCAAAACAAACGCCTAAGCCAAAGGGTCGTTTTCAGTGGTGGAAAGAGCCGTACGTTGATTATCTGTCCTAACATAATTTCTGCATTATTTTAATGAACTTACAAGCTGCATTGTTGCACCTTTGATGGTGTGTGATACAATTGATGAATTGAGATATTGATGATGATGAAAAAAGGACTCAACTTCAGGGTTTACTGTGCTCCACATGTTCATCCATTGCGGCGTGGTGTTGATTTCACTTATCAAGGTTGTTTCTTATATAATCGGGAATAATAGTGATGACAAATTATTATTGCTGAATTAAGCATGGAGAATACCTGTGGTTGAAAATATGGCAGGTGTTCGAAGCTGCCAATTAAACACTCACACCGTACTGATATGAGTGTTTAATTGGCAACTTTGAGTGGTTATTATATGTTCGTTGGAAGTTCTGACCTGAAATTAAGCCTAGCCATAAGTATTCATCATTCATCGACGTTTGCTTAGTTAAGCATCCTTTCGCGATTTTTGATTACTTATATCAAGGATAAATAATTGGTAGTTTATCATTAATTGCGATTGTCTTCTTTTGAATATCGCTGCTCCACTTACCATCAGTCTAACAAAAAATTCAGCAGTACTTCTTAAACTCCCAATTTTTTTTGTTGTTATTTTAAAGAAACCATTTGCATAAATACGTATTCAGATGGTCGGCCGTTGTTTGTTTCATCGAAAGATGAGTTAAAACGGAAGCTGGAACAGATCGAATTAGGTGTAAGTTTTCGTCGTGCTCTTGGGATATGCATTTCATGTTTGTGAACAATCTAGATTCCAGAATACATGCCTGTTCAAGGTCGACTGAAATAAGCATCTTAGTCAACAATCTGACCGAATTTTCGTTCAAACCATCCATTGCACTTCATTCCGTTTGAATAGTAAAGCAAATGGTAATCAATGTGATTATTATCGTCGAAGAATGTCGAAACTTATAATGTGACAATTGTTGTGCTCATAAGCAATGAGGAACTAATGCTTTACAGGATGAGCTGAACTGTTTTTAAATCAGCATTTCATTGCCCCTTTCAAATTTGACTCCAAATCATGCGTTCGTTGCTTGTGAGAATCGTGTGAATGTGAGAGTGCATTCAACTCTCATCAAATGATTATTCGTTTCTGGAATTATTATTTCATTATTTTGATTTTGTTCGATAAATCAATCAATCGCTTTGCAGAAAAAAGTGGTGAAATTATTGGGTGAGATTAGAGAAGCAGAATCATTACATGCCGATGAACTGAGACGAAGAGAAGAAGAAGCGTTGAAATTGCAGAGTTTGAGGCCGATAGCAAAAGGCGACCAATCAATTTGTTGATATGTTTTTCACGAATATCGTGACAAACTTTAATGTATTCGCATGTGTTTTTGATGTATTTGTACATTGTACTAGTGTTTATTTTAGAATTAATAAAATCAATCTAATTAAAAATCAATCTATCTGATCTTCTCTCGTTATCGCTGTCATTTACGTCTGTTGAATTCGCTGACCCACCCAATCTAAATTCACTAAATTCGCTGATTCACCAAGTGTGGATCGCATGTTTTTCAAAAAAAATTCAACTACTTAAATCTACGTAAATCAACTAAATTTCTCAGTTATTTTCTCATAACACCTTCGACGTTGCCATGTCGATCCGACTCGCTCCAAAGCAAGCATCAAACAATGACACCATGAAGCAAGGTAAAATGTTAATCGAAACTATTTACGGATGCACTTAAATGCGAAATACGATAGATAACAACTGGAAAAGGGAAGGGGGCACCCGGATTTGAACCGGGGACCTCTCGATCTGCAGTCGAATGCTCTGCCACTGAGCTATACCCCCACCGACCATATGAATTGCCAAGAGTACTATAAAATTTCATAATATTATCTGTTTGTGGAAAATGTTTGTGGAAAAAGAGAAACGGCGAGAAGATTACCCAAAAACTTATTGATTCCAATGATTGCAATCAAGAAAACGTTGCCGGCAAAAACGAGCTGATCAATGAGAGTTCGTAACGAATAAACCGAGCGATGAATCGCATCTTATCATTACAAGTTCACCTTCTACGTCAACTTAGCTGCATTCACCCATAATTTTTGATGCTTACTCCAAAAAAATTGGTACTCAACTACAAATCTTAATCGAAAACAGTGTTTAAATGTTTTTTGTTTAGTTCTCGGCGTTCCTCATAAAATTACTCATTAATGGGCGCGTCCATATTATATTATCCGTTATCATTACCGACTAGAAGATTTTGGGGAGTAGGAGTCAGCTTGGATTGATCGGTTTGGCTTCTGAACAGAAGAACAACTTAATCGTAAGCAATTTCGTGCAATTGCCCATCTGTTCATCGTCCTATTAACAATTCCAAACAAATTTTATGCTTCTGATATCTCAACGCTTTAGATATTAATGATGAACATACAAATATTCATCCATTAAATCGAATTCTGTATCGAACATGGGAATTTCCTTCGGATGCACATCTTCAGTAATCCATTTCATTTCAATAACGGATGTAAAAGATTAATGTCGAACTGATTGAATGCCTATGTTTGTGTTTGCGAATTCTCCAAACAACTCCGAATCACTTTTTTCAATTATTCCATTGAAGATTGGATGTGTTCAAATGTCAATTTCAAATAACTGCCATTCGATTCAAATTCAGTTATCTCTAAATATGACATTTCCGATATTAATATTTGCCATTCAGTTGTTGCTTGGATGCACACCATAAAAACTTAATGATGGACACATACATCCATGTTGTATTATGAAGGGGGAATCCGATACTGTAACTGCTGAATGTAAACGGAGTTAAGCAAGACTGGAATGGAGTTTTATCAACGATGCAGCGATTGAACAGCGCGTACGTCATTATGTAGTGGTTTATCGCCTATTCCGGTTTATCAACGACAATTCGTCTGGTTAATCGGTGACGTGTTATTTTAAGTTTAATCTGTGGTGATTATCGAGTATTCATTGTGTCATTAAAAAAATAGTTTCAAAGGTTGCGATTTTCAGCGAATAAAGTAATCATATAACGACACCCACGCGCTGTTTCCATGTAGACGACATATTGATTATTCTTTATTCTCTCTGCATACCGTTTCAACATGATTCTCATTTTCAATCCAAACGTTTTCAGGTACGGTAGGATTACTTTTATGATTGATATTATGGGGATTGCTTCTCTCATCCTCAAGACCATCACTATTGATGGTGTTTTCAACAGTAATATATTTCGGATTGTGGAGCATCAGGAATGAATAGATGACAGCACCTATCGCGTTTGCAATTTGTACCTCTGATTCGCCGCCTCACTGATCTAGTCTCGTCACCCAAGATTGATTTTCGTTTGTTGCTGACGAGAATCTCATGCTCGTTTCGTCTCTGCATCGTTCCATACCTCATGATGAGTCCCAGGATTGATACTCGATATCCGAATCACAAGTATCGTTGGAAGTTTGCGAAACCAAAACTTATCTCGTCAAATTCACGATGAAGCAGTTCATCCTTATGTTTAGGAGTTAATCACCAGATTCCAATAAAAACCTAACCGAGACATAGGTATCATGATTATCCGTTACGTGATACTATCTGAAATGTTGTTCTAATGATGGCAACTACCAAACACACAAATATTCAATCACTCATATGCCCAAAATACGTTTCGGTGTTTGATATCCTCAAAACGAGTCGCATAACACGATTGATGGATGTACGATTAAACCAACAAAATTCCTCATATGGATCGGCATAACTACGTGAGCGAACTACTAGTTCATCAGAAAAAAATGCCTTAACAGACATGGTTGAATTGAGAATCCTTCGACACTCCAAAAGAACATCATTCATTGCCTCTATGAGTGACTGTGAATAGACAAAGATATTTAGCTCGTAACCTGCCCTGGCTGATGATGTTTCTACTCCAATCAAACTGTTCTATTTTCCTATTCTATCCCAGGAAATAGAAGAGAACAGTTCCAAAAAAGGACGCGAGAACAGAACGATTGAAGTGCGAAATAGAATACAATAGAATAGAAAGTCGGTTTTCCAAAAGGTTTGAATAGAAACATCACTAGCCCTGGCAACGAACATCCTACTGCTCCAGATCACTCGTATGCATCTTGATCACCAATGGATTAAACGATTTCCCCGCTGAATTTGTTTTGAAATGGTTTGAAGTTGATTTGAGATAATATGCTTCCGTTGAAGTGAAAAGGTTACGCAAGAATTACCATATAAATCGCATAATTTGTCATTTTAGGTGATGACTCGGCCTTCAGATTCATCTTTTAGCATCAGCACGGATGAATCTTAACTTTAATGATATTGGCTTCAGTCAGTATTGTGCGAAATCGCTTGAAGCAGAGCAGAAGGACGTTTTCGTTAATCTTTGATTGCATTGGCTAATTTTATCACTGCTTTGATTATGCTGCTGATCATGTGAAGGTCTTTTATTAGCTTCACCAGAAGATCTTGAATGCGCAGTCGACTGGAAACGATTTTGCGGATAAGTGTGATTTTCTCGTTTCAATTCTGCTTATCACCTTTTGATCTGTACCTCGGTGTGTACAAAATTTAGTTCGATTATTGGAAGTTTAGTTTGGAAGGATGAGATTCGATTCATTAGAGTGATTTTGATGCGTCACAGAGCCGAAACGATTCTGATGTTGATTTTCGAGTGTAACTCACCACAATATGGAAATTGAAGACTCATCATACACTGTTCTCGATAACGTATCGGTTAATATCGATGAACATATCAATCAAACCGCTAAACCTTCATGTTCGTTCCATTTGGATGGGATTTTCTGTGGCAAGTGTTCGTATCATTGCATGTTCTATCCTTGTCACTTTCATTCAAGATCCATCGAACTCACTATTTCTACGTGTAACATCTCCCTCTGACATCCCCAGATTATCCGAAACGGTAATTCACTTCCTATGAAAACCACTGTCCTAGACCGTTGTGTTAGTCATTATTGCATTTGGTTATAATTGCATGAAAAGCTCTTATCCATGACACGTTCACTTTAAACTAATTTAGGTGATTCTCATTCTTTTCAGACGTGTTGTATTCACTCTCATAGCTATTACATGCGAATAGCGTTCTATTGATGGATTTTTCTTATTCACTTCGTCTCATTTCACTTCACAGTTAGAACCAACTTCTTATTCTATAGCATGCATTATTCAATGGACATGTTGACGAGTGTTGACAGCCGAAATCAACGATACAACAGTCGAATTCAATTGATCAACAACGTTCGACGGTCAAATGATCAATTATAGAGTGTATTTGATAGAATGAGAATTTGATTTTGATTGTTGAGTGAAATGAATGAGAAATTAACAGAAGAGAACACTTTTGGTGATAAAAGCTATGAGAGTGATTGTAGCAGCAAGGAAAAGAATGAGAACCCTGCTAAAACGAATGAAAACCCTGTTGGGCCCTTACGAGCTAATGATACGCAGAAAATAGGAGAATGTTGCCATCAACTAACCGCATTTACATATCCGAGTTAAAAAAAACACCTCCACATGGCGTTCAATCGTAACATTGCACGAAATGCTAATTTCCCGACCCCCTCCATGACCCCTTATCACCTCCAAATTATCCAAAATGGGTAATTTCACCCCCTACGAGAACCACTGCTCTAATTGTATTAACAGAGACGTGACTGCATTAATCATGAATCAGTTGAAGGAGCTTACTTTATGAATGCAGAAAATGTAATTCCTGCGTCGTTATTGATTCCGATGCTCTTGAGTGGTTCATACGTGCTGTATTTATCGTTCTTCAAGATTTCAATCAATGATATTATCAATTTATACACAATCAACGTATTTGTACCAATGCAGCTGTTTACATTAAGTCTTATCGGATCTGAAATTGAACTTTACCTTGGATTTTATGGTATTAAGAGGTTAGTGGATCAATATTATGCTTCACTGAGAATTCTCTCTGAATGTCATGGCTTGAACGGAAAATTTTAACGTTCCGATCGTTTGCATTCATTGCAGTTTTCTGATTAGTGAACAACTCGGAAACAAAGTGATGCCTACTAAATAATGGTGATTCGCACTGAAGCGCAAGGGCAGAGACCTTTGCAGAGTGCGGAGACCTTCGTACGGAATTTCGCTAAACCGAAAAATAGTTGAACCATCCTAGAATGTATCAATTTCAATACTACTAGTCTCAGCCATCAGAGAAATCTTTATCCAGATGTTTCCCTAAAATAGCGGTCTTTGTGAACTGCGCGGTCATGTATAACAAGAAGCGGTAAAGCATGCCGTTCACGTTGGTGATATGAGGACCCAGGGAATGATATGAGGATGCAAAATGTGTGTCGAATTTCAGTGTGGTTGTTAATAAGGAGTGAGAAGTGCAACAGAAATCAAAAAGGTTCAATTCTAACAAGTACATCCTCACTATAAGCGACTTTGTCAATCTCAGTGATTTGACTTTTCAATTTGACCTCATTTTTTTGTAAATTGACCGCATTTTCAGCATTATTCATCGACATTTCACCTCGTTCTTCGGTGCCGTCAGTTCGATCAGCTTTCGCGTCCTGTCCGATGCTTTACTCTTATCCATTTACGTTGCATACAAACATCCATTGTCATATGCTCGATATTTCAGTGCAAGGTGACTCTGGTTATTTTTTTCAGAGATAAACTAGTACTTATTCTCGTAATTCACCGAGTCAATTCAGGTGAAACCTAAGGAATCGACGAATCCACATATTTAGATGAACCGCAAACTTTTCATGAACTATGGAAACTTGAAGAAATGTGACGAACTGTGAAACTTGTGATTACCCCTTAATTAACGTTCCTATGGATTATCCAAGGACAGTACTCCAGAAGCAAATATTTCTTTGAAGCAATGGCAACTACAATTTTCACACAGCAAATTGTATGCACAGCTCTAACCCCAATTGCAAAACGTTGCTGATTTTTCAGGAGATGGAAGTGGTACTTTGCAACATTGCATGTGATAGCCATACTTTGTGGAGTATGTCATGTGATTGTGATGAACACTGGCGGTGCGATATCATGGATTGAACCACTCCCGTCGTTTTTTGTTACATTCACAGTGACGGCTATCATTACGGCTTTGGTTAGCACTCGATTCGTTGCTTGAAATGAAGTAATTCAAGAGTATATACATGGAGATGCCAATACTCCCTCCACTACTGTTCGGCCTCAGTTTAAACTATAACTAATTCGTGATTAATCTTGGCTTCCTTGGATATCAACTCAGGCTGCAATTGACTGTTACTTTGCCTCGTACAATCTGAGATAGAACACTTGAGCCTAGCAGAGCCTCATCTCTTGGGAATCTTGCTATTGGTGACCTTAGCTTATAGTTGAACCCTAAATAAACATGTCCTGTTGAATAGCCGAACAGTCGTTGCAAATAAACAGTTGTAAATATGCTCACATGAAAGGAACTCACCATGATAAGCGATATTTAAAAAAACTCTCAATCGAACAATGGATTGAACACATCAGTTGGCGTTTGAACATATTCTAATATCAAATGAACCACTAGAAAAATTCATCGAGGGCGGAAAGGAACTATAGTCATTTGCTTCTGAAGAAGGCTTCTTCAGGCGATCTGGTGTTACTTTCAGGTTTTGAATGCTATAGTAGAGTATTACACGCGCAAATCAGTCGCTCACAATATCGTGAATCGAGGAAGAATCAGACAGTTAATATATGTGCTAATTTATATTACACCACCAAACATATGCTGTTTTGCGGGATTTGGTATAAATCTTCCAACATTCTTTTGAAATCATAGTCACATTTTCCAGAATTCTCGAGTATCATCAGGAAGCTTTTCAATCTAGTCGATCCACACCAACTTTTCCAACTGAAAACTGACCATGTTTTATGCACAGAATTGAGGAGGGATCAACGTTAGATTGTATTTGAGATGTTGAACGATATTTGTTGCAGTGTGGAATATTGCAATCATATATAAACTGGTTTACCCTCTGAATAATGGTACAGCAGAAATACTTAAGGTTGCGAGAACAGTTCAGGTTAAGTCGATTTCATTAAAATAAACAACTGCGATGATAATTATCTCGCTGAGTACTCAAACCAGTGAAACCGCATAATTCTAAATTCGATGAATGTTATGCTTACAATTAATAGTTTCATCGTCATTATCATTTGATCTTTGCTGAGGCATCAAATGCTTGATATTTTTAGATCGAAATAATGCTTGATATTTCTAGATCGAAATAATGTTGATTGATGATGAATTTAGATGCTGAACAGTTGGCAGAAGCAAAGAATGATCTCGGTCTGTTTTTTAGAAGGAAAAGAAATTATGTGCAAAAATTTTTGAGGTTTGAATATCTGCGCATGGTAACACCACTATCGTGAATTTCAGTTTTTCACAATTCGAGCTCAACCAATAATTCTCGCCCTAGCAACACTTCTTGCTCTACCAACTTTCCGAAATCAATTGCCATTCTGCAGAACAAACAAAGTGAGCCCTTGAACTGCTGGAGCAAAGCATGGCTGTAATGATTGCAGTGGTCGAGACAGATCGCTGAGAACTGATTGGGCGCAGTATTGCTATTTCATACTTATCTGTTCGTTAATCTTCGTTGCTCTTGTGCATTTTCTCGGTATGGCACATTTTGGTACGGGACGTTCAGGTGCAAGAAGGTTGCGATGTAGTTGATGGATTCGATCGCTTAATTAGAAAATGAAATGGATCCTCTGTGACACGGAAGATAATCTTAAACATCCAGTTGCTTCGATCTCGACCTATCAAAACAGCCAACACTACAACAGCAACGCCAAAACATCCTGCAGCCTTACTGTGTTTCATGAATCGCCTGCTTTCGTTACCATTGAAATTCATCGTTTTTGTTTCCAACTAACGGGATCCTTGACCACAGTGTTACAAAACTTTACGAATTGCATTGGTGCACCTATAAGTAATGCCTCGTATCCAAGGGATTTAAAAATGTTAGGACATAGCGATCTCCACCTGCATATGGTTTGAAAAGTCTGCTTCATCGGATTTTTTGATTGAACCAATCTAAACTGAATTTCGTTCATGTTCCTGCAGTGTTTCCGTGTTCATTCATACTTAATTATTAAGTATACTAATTTAAAACACAAGTGTTTGCTGCATTATTGTTCACAGTTTAGTTTGCTTGCTGTGGCAATGAACCTTCTCGTGATCACATTTCATATGTATCGGTTCTACGAGGTATCAATTCCTCGAATCATCTCAACTGCTTTCCTTAACAGTACTATTGAATATGGAAATCGTAGGTGTTATGTTGAGATGACCCTTACGTTCACATTTTGTTAGCATTATGATGGTATTCAGCATCGCTAGGCCTTCTCTGAGACCGTTGTAGTCCTCATTATTGCAATAGGTTACGATTGCATGAAAAGCTATTGTCCATAACACGTTCACTTCAAACTGATTTTGGTAAATTCTCATTCTTTTCAGACGTGTTGTATTCACTCTCATAGCTATCACATACGAATATCGTTCTATTGATGACTTTTTCTGATTCAGTTCGTCCCATTTCACTTCACAGTTCGAATCGATTTCTTATTCTGTAGCATGTACTATTTACTACATAAGTTGACGAGTGTTGACAGCCGAAATCAACAATACAGCAATCGAATATTATTGTATAACTAGGTTCGACAGTCAAATGATCAATTATAGAGTGTATTCGAGAGAATGAGAATTTGACTTTAATTGTTGAGTGAAATCCATATTAGACCCGGACGAGCTAATGATCCGCACAAAATAGAAGAAGCATTTACATATCCGAGTTAAAAAACACCATCACAATGGCGTTCTATC